CACTTTGCTTTTCACCTCCATTTCTTGTAAGCCCCCTGAAGTTCAGTGCTAGTAGTAGGAAAAGGGATATTTGCCTGAAACTTTAATTTGAGATTCAACTGGGAAAGTTGATTTTGATGTTTGTCTTTATTGTGAGGCATGATGGGTCTGAGGAACCTATTGTTATTTCATTTGTACACCATTTTCCCAGTTTTTCCCACTATTTAACATTTGCTTACTCTGTTAATACATGTCAGGGTGGTTTTTCTTAAACATAGAGCCATATTGACCATTTGCCAAGACATAAGCTTAGGGATAACACTTTTTTTTTCTGAGATAGCGTCTCACTTTGTCACCCAGACTGTGGTGCAGTGGCATGATCTTGGCCCACTGCAGCCTCCACCTATCGGGTTCAAGTGATTCCCCCACCTCAGCCTCCCCAGTAGCTGGGAATACAGGTGCACGCCACCATGCCCAGCTAATTTTTGTATTTTTAGTACAGACTAGGTTTTGCCATGTTGGCCAGGCTGGTCTTGAACTCCTGACCTCAGGTGATCTGCCCACTTGGCTTCCCAAAGTGGTATGATTACAGGCGTGAGCCACCATGCCCAGCCAAGAGTAATACCAACTTTTACTTAGAGTTACAGTTCTAAGAGTGTCCAGTTACCAGCATGTGCGTATGCAGCATAAATAAAATAACTTTAATGTACAAGTTGGTAAATTCATTGCTTTTTTATTCAGCAAGTATTTATTGATTGCCTACTATGAACCAGGTATGGTCCTAGATGCTGATGAGTAGACAAAACAAAAATCCATGTCCTCATGGAGCTTTCATCCTAGTAAGGTGAGACCAAGTAAAAATTTTAAATAAGTAAATGATATTGTATCAAATGATGGTAGGATAAGGTTGGAGAGGTAGGTTAAGAGTGCCATGTTTGGCCGGGTGCGGTGGCTCAAGCCTGTAATCCCTGCACTTTGGGAGGCCAAGGCGGGTGGATCACGAGGTCAAGAGATCGAGGCCATCCTGGTCAACATGGTGAAACCCCGTCTCTACTAAAAATACAAAAAATTAGCCGGGCATGGTGGCGCGTGCCTGTAGTCCCAGCTACTCAGGAGGCTGAGGCAGGAGAATTGCCTGAACCCAGGAGGCGGAGGTTGCGGTGAGCCGAGATTGCGCCATTGCACTCCAGCCTGGGTAACAAGAGCGAAACTCCGTCTCAAAAAAAAAAAAAAAAAAAAAAAAGAGTGCCATGTTTGTGGAGGGATTTGGTGCTCTGATTTTAAATAGGGTTATTGAGAAGATTCACTAAAAGTTGACATTTGAACAAAGTTCTGAAGGAAGAGAAGGAAGCCATGGAAATATCTATAGAGTGAAAAGCATTCCAGGAAGAGGGAAAAGGCAAGTACAGAAAACCTGAGGCAGGAACAACAAGGAAGCCAGTGTGGCAAGAGTGGCGTGAAAGTGAAGGAGAGAAATAAGAGAAGGTAGGTATCAGAGAGGAAGTGGATAGGGTGGGGTGGTGGGCAGATTGTCTAGGGACTTGGAGGTCATGATAAGTAAGGACTTAGACTTCTATTCTGATTGAGAGGAAAACCCGTTGGAGAGTTTTAAGCAGAAAAATGGCGTGATCTGATATATATATATATATATATATATATATATATATATATATATATAGTTTTGGCGGCTATGTTGAGAATAGACCAAGACAGAAGTTAAAGGCAGAAACACACCACATAGGAGGTTATTGCAGAAACCCAGGAGACACTATGAAGGCCTGGACCAGGGAAGTAGCCATTGAAGCCTTAAGAAATGGTGAGATATTGGATATACTTTTGTGTTTTTTTGAGACAGGTTCTCACTCTGTTGCCCAGCCTAGAGTATCTGCCACAATGCTTGGCTAATTTTTTTTTTTTTTTTTTTTGAAAAAGAGTTTCACTCTTGTTGCCCAGGATGGAGTGCAATGATGTGATCTCTGTTCACTGTAACCTCTGCCTCCTGGGTTCAAGTGATTCTCTTGCCTCAGCCTTCCAAGGAGTTGGAATTACAGACATCCGTCACCACACCCAGCGAATTTTTATATTTCTAGTAGAGATGGGGTTTCACCATGTTGGCCAGCCTGGTCTTGAACTCCTGACCTCAGGTAATCTGCCCGCCTCAGCCTCCCAAAGTGCTGTGATTGCAAGTGTGAGCCACTGCACTCGGCCGGCTAATTTTTTTTTTTTTTTTTAAAGACAGGGTTTCACCATTTTGGTCAGGCTGGTCTTGAACTCCCAACCTCAGGTGATTCACCCGCCTTGGCCTCCAAAGTGCTTGGATTACAGGCTTGAGCCACCACGCCTGGCCTAATTTTTAAAATATTTTATTTTTTGTAGAGATGGGGTCTTGCCATGTTTCTCAGGGAGATCCCAAACTCCTGGGCTCAAGCAATCCTCCTGCCTGGGCCTCCCAAAGTGCTGGAATTAGAGGTGTGAACCACCACGCCTAGCCAGAGAGAAGAATTCTATCTCTGGATGGCAAGAGTGAAGAGAAAAAAAAAATAGAAGAATTATATCAAGTACTACTACAGATAGATCAATTAAGATGAAAACTGAGAATTGACCATTTGATTTAGCACCATGGAAGCTAACAGTGACCTTTACAAGAATAATTTTGATGGAATGATGAGAGTGGAAGCCTATTGATAGTGAATTCAAGAAAAAAGTAGGAGAGGAATTAAAGGCAGGGAGTACAGATAATCTTTTGATGAATTTTGTTGTAATGGGAATCTGAGAAATGATTAGTAGCTGGAGGAGGATGTGGGATCTGGATAAGAGATTTTATTTCTTTTTTTTTTTTTTTTTTTTTTTTTTGAGACGGAGTTTCACTCTTGTTACCCAGGCTGGAGTGCAATGGCGCGATCTCGGCTCACTGCAACCTCCGCCTCCTAGGTTCAGGCAATTCTCCTGCCTCAGCCTCCTGAGTCGCTGGAATTACAGGCATGCGCCACCATGCCCAGCTAATTTTTTGTAGTTTTAGTAGAGACGGGGTTTCACCATGTTGACCAGGATGGTCTCGATCTCTTGACCTCGTGATCCACCCGCCTCGGCCTCCCAAAGTGCTGGGATTACAGGCTTGAGCCACCGCGCCCGGCCTAAGAGATTTTATTTCATGCCAGACATTGGAGAATGTGGGTTAATAGGATTGATCCAGTAGAGAGGCAAAAATTATTGATATGGAAGAAAGAGGAGAGATTGGCTGAAATGGTTTGTGGTGGTAGAATAGCAGAGTTGTGATTGTCCTTTGTCTCAAGGGTCTGTAAGCCACAGAGAAGGAAAAAGAGGAAAATTAAAGAGATGGTAATTATAACTGTTGCTGCTCTGGTCTCTGTAGAATTAGGTTTAGATATATTGACGGCAGCCTCTGGTTTTATTTGTGCCTAAGCACCCCAGCATGGATCTTGTGCAGAGCTTGTTTCCTTCTAATACCCAGCAATAACAGCTGGGCCCTGCTGTTCTTTGGCTTCTGAAGATAAAAGGGATAAGAAAAAAGAGGCTTTACCCTTGTATCCTTAACCTTACTTTTCTACCATGAATATTTTGACCCTGCCTATTAATATGATTGTGGCTGATACTATTAAGTTTGTTTTATAGGCTGGGTGTGGTGGCTCTCTCCTATAATCCCAGAACTTTGGGAAGTTGAGGCAGGAGGATCACTTGGGTCCAGGAGTTTGAGACCAGCCTGGGCAACATAGCAAGACCCCATCTCTGAAAAAACAAATCAAAAACAAAGTACATGTCACACCTCTTCCACAGGGGAAGCCATAGTGTGTGGGCAGGACCAGAAGCTGCAAAAAATCCCTTCTGTTTTCCCCACAGCATGACTTATTACGTAGGACAAAACTGGTCAATAAAGAAGTTTAATCATTCTTCTAGTTACAGAGAAATTTGAATTTCCTTACCTTTTAAAATAAAACTTTTAGTGGCTTAGACTTTAGAAGGCATATCTTAGCAATCAAATAAGGGTTGAAAATACAGGTAATTTCATACTTTTGATGGTAGTTACTAGGAGAAAGGCTCCTCTGGTAATGAAGTTTGACCCAGAAGCCTATGAGTCATATTTGTTGAACATGCTAAACGTAGGACATAGTAAGATAGGAAATAATGAAATTCCAGCTCAATTAGCTATTACTAGCCCTCAATTGCTCTTAAATTGTGATTATGTAGCCAGCATAGTCTTACTCTAGGTTCTGTGTCTGTTTTTACAGAAAAAAACAAAACTCCTAACTATTCATTCACAGATTTGTTTTATGATAAAAAATCCAAAGAAGGTTTCTAAATAATTTTCAGAATTGCTCTACCAGTTACCTTTTCACCCGAAGTAGATCTGGAAAGCATCCAGCAAAACAGCTTTTGCATGTTCATACCTTTCAGAATGAATCATCTTCCTTCCCTTTAGTAAGAGAAGGGCTATGTGTACTGTTTCTGGCAAATTTCCACAGATGTTTTATTTTTCTTAAGTCTTCCAGTGCTTCACTTGAGTTGAACCTAGGGGGTACCTGATGTTCGCTAAGGAGATCTTTGAATCTCCTCACCCTTGGTTGGTTCTGTTAAAAGAGCAGTCAGTTCTGATTCTTCTGGGAGGATTTCAGGTATCCTTTTTTTTTTTTTTAAATGAAGTTGTTCCCACTATAGGAAATCAGATGGCAGGCAATAGACTGTATAATGCTGTACTAAGGATTGTAGAAAGGTGAAGGTTTGTTCTTGCTTGTTGAGCATAATCCTCTTTACCTGTGAAATGAAGAGTACTATCATAAGAATGTTGAGGTGAAATCTGGGGCATCCTCTGATCTCCTTAAATTCAAAATTTGTCCCAACTAGCCTGAACTTTTTATTTTTATATTTCACAGTTTCCAGACATCAGTCAAGAATCTGATTCTCCGTTTGTTTTCATCTGCAAAAATCCTCAGGAAATGGTTGTGAAGTTTCCTATTAAAGGAAATCCAAAAATCTGTAAGTCATGATTTTTTTTTTTCTTTAAGATAGTCAAGTGCAGTAGTGAGAAGTGGGGGAAGAAAGTAGAACAAGGAGTTGGATCTGTAACTGACTGTGAACAGTCAATTGAGGTAACCCACTTTGGACCAGCCTGTAAGTCACGATCTTTGAGGGTCTAATTTTCTTTTCTTTTTTTGTCTTGCATCTCACTTGTCTTAAATTTTTATAATCTTCTCTTTTACTTTGTTCTGTGTGTCCCTAGTGCTGGAGGCTTAATACAATTATACTTATCAATAACTTTATGTTAGGTTAACTACAACAAAGCCTCTTCAGAGTACACCTTGATCCACAATTGCTGGCATAGTAAGTCACTCTAAACTTCTGTTTCAGACCCTATTAGATTAAAATGCTGTTTGTCAGCCAAAAGAGTATGTTTTGCCCCACTGTACTGCTCATTAAAGGAAGTAGTAAGGCAGTGCACTGGCAACCCTGTCATTTAGCTGTATCTGTTTATCCATTGTTTAGTATTCAACTCAAGAATAAGGGCTGGGTGTGGTAGCTCACTCCTGTAATCCCATAATTTTGGGAGGCCGAGGTGGGTGATCATCTGAGGTCAGGAGTTTGAGACCAGCCTGGCCGACATGATGAAACTCCTGTCTCTACTAAAAAAAAAACAAAAAATTAGTCAGGCATGGTGGTGGGTACCAGTAATCCCACCTATTCAGGAGGCTGAGGCAGGAGAATCACTTGAACCCGGGAGCCGGAGGTTGCAGTGAGCCAGGATTGTACCACTATAGTCCAGCCTGGGCAAAAAGAGTGAAACTCTATTTTAAAAAATAAAATGTCGGGCGCGGTGGCTCAAGCCTGTAATCCCAGCACTTTGGGAGGCCAAGGCGGGTGGATCACAAGGTCAAGAGATCGAGACCATCCTGGTCAACATGGTGAAACCCCGTCTCTACTAAAAATACACAACATTAGCTGGGCATGGTGGCGCGGGCCTGTAATCCCAGCTACTCAGGAGGTTGAGGCAGGAGAATTGCCTGAACCCAGGAGGCGGAGGTTGCGGTGAGCCGAGATCGCGCCATTGCACTCCAGCCTGGATAACAAGAGTGAAACTCCGTCTCAAAAAAATAAATAAATAAAATAAAATAAAATAAACTTAACATTTTAAATATTTATTATTGAGCATCTATTTTAGAGCTACCACTTCCCATATTTCCCTTCATTATTGGTTCTCAGAGTACAGATGTGGCTCTCTTGCTTTTTATTCTTTTTAAAAAAAATTATTAGGTAATTGATTGAGACAGGGTCTTGCTCTGTCACCCAGGCTGGAACAGTGGCATGATCATGGCTCATTGAAGCCTCAGCCTCCCAGGTCTAATCCTCCCACATCAGCCTCCCGAGTAGCTGGGACCCATCTTTTCTTCCTCTGTCCTAGAGCAGCCTCTTCTATTTCAAAGCAATCTCAAAACACATATGGTGGTGTCCTTCTTGCCTAATATCCTTAGAAAAGCAACATCAGCAACTGTCACATTTGCTCACGTCGGTTACCATTTTGTGCTTCTGTGTCACTGCTTTCCCATTGTGTGAAATGAGTGATTCTAGGGCATGCATTGTCCTCACTTGTGCACAACTCTACCTCATCTAGTACCTTGGGGACCAACTAGCCATTTTATAAATCTATGCCCTAGAGAAGTACTTCTCAAACTATAATGTAAATAAAAATCACCTAGCAAGCTGTTAAAACATAGGTGCCTCCATCCTGCTCTCAGGTGATACTGATGCTGTTGGCCAGCTGGCTACACTTTAAATAACACTGCTTTCAATCACAAAATGAAATGCTTGGAGTAGGAATTTATATTAATGTATATTTACTGCAAAATTCAGGCAACATCTTGATTGATAAAATCCTAAGATTCCTACACATTGGAAGATCTGAACCAAGTTGTCCTTAACTGACACAAATTATTTACTTCAGGTGGTACTCCAGTTGGTGGCCCAGTGGCCCTGGAAATCCTTTTCTCCACTACCAAGGGTTTATTTATTTATGAGATAGGGCCTTGGCCTGTCACCCAGCCTGGAGTACAGTGGTACAATTATGGCTCACTGCAGCCTCCACCTCCTGGGGTAAAGTGATCCTCCCATCTTAGCCCCCCAAGTAGCTGGGACTACAGGTGTGTGCCACCACACCCAGCTAATTCTTAAATCTTTGGTAGAGATGAGGTCTCACTATGTTGCCCAGCCTGGTCTCAAGCGATCCTCCTGTTTTGGCCTCCCAAAGTGTTAGGATTACAGGTGTGAGCCATGGCACCTCGCCCTGTTTAGTATTTAGATCTCCCTTTTGCCCTCCGTCAGTTTTGATTGTGGCAGTCTACCCCTTCCTCCTTCATTTCATTCTCACCTTACTCTAGGCACTGGTGGCAACATTGGTGGTAGGTGGTAGTAGATCCTCTCTTTCAGACCCACTCTTACTTGATCTTTATTCCCACTTTCCTTTTTGTAGCTTCTTTCCCTAGTTTTGTTTTCATCTGCAGCTTAAACTCCTGTGAGAAAATGTTCTGTGTAGAGTTTAGATATTTCTCTGGAATGTCTTACTTTAGTAATTTCTCTACACCTATAGGGCCTTCATTTTTCTCCATAAGGTTTCATGATGGGGAGGGGAGTGATGTTCTTAGGAGAAAGTTTTAATAACTTCCTATCTTTTTCCTATTGTTTCTGTTAGTTAATGGTGGACTAGACAAGGTTAAACATTGGTCAGAAGCAAAAGGAAGTGAATTTTTTTTTTTTTTTTGAGACAGAGTCTCACTCTTGCCCAGGCTGGAGTGCAGTGGTGCGATCTCGGCTCACTGCAACCTCCACCTCCCAGTTTCAAGCAATTCTACTGCCTCAGACTCCTACGTAGCTGGGATTACAGGCACATGCCACCAAGCTTGACTAATTTTTGTATTTTTTTAGTAGACGTGGGGTTTCACCATGTTGGTTAGGCTGGGAAATTTTTTTTTTTTAGATGGGATCTCACTCTTTCATCCAGGTTGTAGTGCAGTGGCACAGTCTCGGCTCACTGCAACCTTCACCTCCCAGGCTCAGGTGTTCCTCCCACCTCAGCCTTCCAAGTAGCTGGGACCACAGGTGCATACCACCATGCTTGGCTAATTTCTTGTATTTTTGGTAGAGACAGGGTCTTGCCATATTGCCCAGGCTGGTCTTGAACTCCGAGCTCGGGCGATCCACCCACCTTGGCCTCTCGAAAAACCTTCTACTCTGCCATAACTCTTTTCCCTTAGGTCCTAGGGCATACCTCTAGTAGTTTAAGCCAGAAAAGTCTTTAATCCCAGTTACACTGGGGACAATACATACTTGCCTCTTAATTTGGAATGCTTATCACATTTTCCCCTAGATATATTATTACATGAAGTGATTAAGTTTAATAGCATTGATAACATTAATACTTGGCTGGGCGTGGTAACTCACGCCTGTAATCCAAGCACTTTGGAGGCCAAGGCGGGCGGATCACCTGAGGTCGGGAGTTCAAGACCAGCCTGACCAACATGGTGAAACCCCGTTTTTAAAAAAAAATAATAATAAAAATAAAAAATAAATAATAATAATATTAATAGCCAGGCGCGGTGGCTCAAGCCTGTAATCCCAGCACTTTGGGAGGCCGAGGCGGGTGGATCACAAGGTCAAGAGATCGAGACCATCCTGGTCAACATGGTGAAACTCCGTCTCTACTAAAAATACAAGACATTAGCTGGGCATGGTGGCACGTGCCTGTAATCCCAGCTACTCAGGAGGTTGAGGCAGGAGAATCTCCTGAACCCAGGAGGTGGAGGTTGCGGTGAGCCGAGATCGCGCCATTGCACTCCAGCTTGGGTAACAAGAGTGAAACTCCATCTCAAAAATAATAATAATAATAATAATAATATTAATAACTGGTCCGGCACAGTGCCTCATGTCTCTAATCCCAAAACTTTGGGAAGGTGAGGCAGGAGAATCACTTGAAGCCAGAAGTTTGAGACTAGCCTGAGTAACATAGAGAGACCCTGTCTCTACAAAAAAAAAAAAAAAAAAAATCCCAGTGTGGTGGTGAGTGCCTAGAGTGTCAGCTACTTGGGAGGCTGAGGCAGAAATATTGCTTGAGACCTGGAGTTCAAGGTTGCAGTGGGCTATGATTGCACTACTGCACTCCAGCCTGGATGTCAGAGTGAGATCCTGTCTTTAAATAAATAAATAAAATAAATAACAGTCTGCTTTACTTGTAACACTATGGCTTACATGTTTTTTTTGTGGGATGGCTTAGGAACCTAGCCACCGTTTACATATTAGTTCTATGACAAATATATTCGAAGTTCCAAACTTTTAGTTTTGAGACAGGGGTCTCTCTATGTTGCCTAGGCTTGCCTTGAACTCTGGGCTCAAGAGATCCTCCTGCCTGAGCCTCCCAAGTAGCTGGAACTATAGACGTACACTACTATGCCCAGCTTCAGGTTCCAAACTTAAGACTTGCAAATAAACTTTCAGAATATGACACATTTACCTGTTATATCATATAAATATATATATGTATAAATGCTTAAAATTAAAGGTGTATAATTTGTTTTTGGAAGTGTAAATTTGAGTTTGCCTGAGCTTAAGGTAATTGTATCTCCTGAAATTGAAATAATTGGCTGGGCTTGGTGGCTCACGCCTGTAATCCCAGCACTTTGGGAGGCCAAGGTGGGCAGATCATGAGGTCAGGAGTTCGAGAACAGCCTAGCCAACATAGTGAAACCCCATCTCTACTAAAAATACAAAAATTAGCTGGGTGTGGTGGCATGCACCTGTAGTCCCAGCTACTTAGGAGGCTAAGGCAGGAGAATTGCTTGAACCTGGGAGGCGGAGGTTGCAGTGAGCTGAGACCATGACATTGCACTCCAGCCTGGGTGACAGAGTGAGTCTCCGTCTCAAAAAAAAAAAAAATATTTAGAAAACAGCAATATTCAATAGGGTATCAATCACTTGGCTATGTGTCTGTTTCATATAGGTTGAATACTCAAAGAGATGAAAATTTTTAAAATTTAACAACATGTTCTATAAACTCATGCACCCTATATATGTTGCAAAGCATGTGAAACTTCCTATGAGAGTTATATAAATTGATGACAAATACTTTT